AATGTAATTTACCACAAACATAACCGGTATGGTGTGTAAAAGCTCTTGCATAAAATATATATAGATCAAGTCTCGTAAGCTGCAAGGCATAGGGTTTTTCCTTTGGTAGACGCACATTTACAGATAAGAAATAATAAGCAAAAGCTATGCACTACAAAAGAGGCCATCGATGAAAACAACTTTATAAGCTACAAATTCTTAACTCGGAATCCAAAAATATCACATACGTCTAAATAAATCAATCTCAAGTCCTTTTGCAGTTAAAAGAGAACTTGAGAACGAACAAAAGAATATGAATTATTAAACTCAGGAAAAGCATACTTTAAGAATGCCATATTCAAACTCTCGTTCTTGTTAATTTCAACAAGTCAAGCAAAATGATAGACTACTAGCAACATGGTAGCTTACGACGGAAAAAAGGCATTACCTTCTTCGTATCTTTCCATCCTTCATAACAGAAGAATTCTGGTTATCACTACTGCATTCTTTCTCATCTGCAATCCAAGAACAAGATTCAGAAGTCGCTGTAACATCCTGCTCAACATTATCAAGTCCGGGCTCATTTGAATGAGAGAAAACCCTTCTCTTGCCAACTCTTTTTGACCTACCAAAGAAATTGATTGTAACCCAAAAATAAGACGCCATCTTAGCACATAAAAGAAACTAAATATTCAGTAAAAACTGAAGAAAAAAGGTTCAGTTCTTCATTTTTGTTTTGAACAACCAATGACATGGGTGAAGCTCAAATGGGGAATCAATGCTATTGTATTCCGAGTTATGATGTTACGAAGTGAAGCTAGTAAACAAATTACGGGACATCCTTGCCAATTATATGTTTGCTGTTAACACCAATTTCACAGGGAAGAACCTTCCTCTGCTAAAACTGGTCACTTTCTAGAAAACTGAACGTGTAACAAATACAAACCTCCATAACTTCTGCACAATATCCTTTTCTGGGTCTTTGCAGCTTTCACATTTCTCCTTCAGTTTCTGCAAATACTCTATCATACTGCAACAATGAAAAAAACGTCGTGATTATATTATTAGGCACCAAATGCACATTTTTAAAGATCAGATCATATAAATGGGTAAATTTTGTTACTTTTTACATACTCATTGTGGTATTCCTGTAACTCTGAGTAGTATGATTTCTTCTCAGCCTTTAAACGTTGTTCCTCCTGAATAACTGTATCAGGGTGAAGATGTCCTGAACAAAGTGATGTACCCCTGTAAAGCATAAATTCCAGTCAAATCTAGCAGATTCAAAGCCTACAATAGAGTCCTCAAATATTATATCTCTTTCAAACAGAACCAGAGAAACAAAATAGAAAATAACCCAAGAACTATTAACTTCTTTATAAATAAAAAACAAGAAGTTGCAAAATTAAAGTGTGGTTTAATGGGAAAACATATTTGCCAATGGGTGGTTAACAGGAACTACAAGAAGAATGGATGCATTATCCGCAAGGTGAGAAAAGTGTCAAAAGTAAAAATATACTTGCCATTTAAGAAAATGATTTCCAAAGTGAAAGTTATCTCCAGATAATAATGCTTGCAGAACCTGCTCTTCGCCTATCCCATTGGGAAGAAACTGCATCAGAAAATTTCTCTCATTTTCAGACAGATGAGTCTTCCAAACCTGTAACAATTCAATGTAAATTCCTAAAAGGTATTAGATTAACATACATAGGAGATTAGAAGTAATTGTGATTACAAATAACAAGAATATTACCTCATAAGAAAGCACCTTTGTCAAGTCCTCTAATTCAAAAATTTCAGGACAAAGAGTCAAAGCATCTGTCAAGACTCTATGACAATGTGTTGATGACTCAGAAAATGGCCTGAAATGCCTCCGACTTAAGGCAATTTGTTCCCTTTTGGCAACAACTTTTTTTTGGTTCCCATCCCACTCAAGGGAAATATAACATTTTGTGCTCAAATCATTTCTCGAAGGCTCTAGCTTTAGCTTTTTCTTTTTGGTTTTGCATCGGTCCAAAGAATTGCAGCCAGCAATGCTAGCACCATGAAGCCGTTTTCTCCGTTGATCAGCTGCCATTGCTATCTGATGTCTAAATAACTGGCAGCCAACATTTTCCTGCATGTGATAGCAGAAAATCAGTATTAAATTGTATCCCACCAAGGAAAACCAATGAACCATTAAAAATAAAAAGAAGCAACCTTTGAATAAGAACAAATCATAAGACTCTTTAACTAGGCAAAGAACAACATATCCACTGCGTTTAAATGAATATATACACATGGGCGGAGCCTCTACAGTGAGCTGACACCCCATTCTTTAAAAAATAAGCCTTAATTAAATTTTATATTAAAAAAGGTAATCTAAATTTTATCAGAAACAAATCAAATTTGGCTTCGGCTTCGGGAAATAGGGACCCCGGTTGCTTTCAACCAATATATAATATGCCAGGACAGGAGCTTCACAATCATAGCAGAAGGCACATCAAATCAAATAATCTGAAGAATATAACCTGTTTCTTGCGAATTAACTAAAATAAACAAATTAATTCTACTTTTTGCTTCTAGTCATGCTAGTCGAAACATAAGTCAAAGCCATATGAAGTACAGCAACAAACATAACAAAGTTGAAAATTTTCCATTTACACCAAGTATATTTACTCAACTCAAAATTTGAAACTGGATTTAACACAGCACTAAGTAAGCAGCTCATAGAAACTCTATCCACAACAAAAATAACAAACAGCTGCAATAATCCAACACAGGCAAAAAAACACCTTTTTATAATTGAAACAAATACACTTCAAAATTAAACTAAACTAACAATCATCCAACACAAAATTAACCCCGAATCAGAAACAAAGGGAAACACACAAACAACAGAGAAGCATTGAAAATCCATAAGAAAAAAAAAACAAAAACAGCAGACTTCAAGATATATCGAAATAAAGGAACCCCTTTCAACCAATAAAAAAATCCCAGAAAAAACAAAGAACCCAGAAAATATTTCTTCTCAAAGAAGCAAAAGAAAGTACCTTGAAGCAAGGAGGAGCAGTGGATTGAAAAAAAAAAGGTAAAGGGTTGTGAGTTAATTGGTATTGGAAGGGACGGCGAGAGAGAAGAAAAATAAAAGGGTTTGAGGTTATCCAATAAAACTAAGAGAAACACACACCAAGAGTAGAGATTCAGAAAGAGAGAGAGAGAGAAGGGTGGAATGGAATTACAATGGGGAAAGAGAGAGAGAGGTGGGGACGGGGACGGGGACGGGGACGGGGACGGGGAACCGTTATGTGAAGCCATTGAATCGTTCATTCTCGTTTATGGGGCTCGGCTTTTGCCTTCTGTCCATAGTCCTTTCGATTTGATATTTTTCAAGTGATACAAAATTATGAGATAAAAATCTGATTTTGATTTAATTTGATATAAATAAATTTTTATTTAATAATGATATTAATTAAATTAAATTTTAATTTACTTAAAAAATAGGATGATGAGAAAGAAAAATGTTAATACGAAGATATATTAATTGGTCGAGAGGGTTGTCATCGTCTCTGTAGTACCAGATATATATTATACAATTAATAAATTAAATATGTATGATTATATCAAAAAATATATAATATCAATTTATATAAATAAAAAGGCTTACTATAAAATAAGTACCCAAATTATATATTTTTTTCTCAAAATATGTGTTTAAATTTTTTTCGATCCATCTAAATGTCTAACATTACAAATATTACTATTTTAGGTGTCCGACCGTAATATTCGTTAAATTCTTTTGTTAAAAGACACATGTCACATTCAAATAATTTTAAAAATTTTATTTAAAATAAAAAACTTAAAATTACACATTTAAAAAAACCAAAACTTTTAGAAATCTTCTAAAAATCCAAACTTTCAAAACACTAAATCTAATCATTATACCCACTAAATCTACTTCCGACCGCACCTCCACTACACGACCACCAACGCGACAAACAACCACTGATGAACCTGAACCGCGATATAAAGGGGAAAACATTGAGATTGAAAGAGGTCTGATTTAGGCCTCATTGTGTGTGGTACTGGTTGGTTTTGGTGTTTGGCAAACGATTATTGATAGAAAGATGACGACAATAGCTGAATAATTGATCAACGACGATAACAAAGATAGTGACCAATGGCAGTAAAGAGAAATAAGGATTAAAATCATGAATTTGATAATGATTCAAGGGATTTGAGTTTTTTTTATAATTTTTAAAAAATTAAAATTTTTCTAAATATAATAATATTTTAAGTTTTTTTTAATTATGTTAATATGATTAATGATCGTTATAATTTAGACACCCAAAATAGTAACGTTGTATCGTTAAATATATGAATGAATTAAAAAAAATTGAACACCTATTTAAAAAGATGATATAATTTAAACATTTATTTTCTAATTAAATGGAATAATATATATATATATTGATCAATAATTATGGCTCGGCTATTTACTATTTAGCCTAGCAAGAAGGGAGAGGGTTGATGGTAAATATTAAAAGAGTCGTTGGATCCCGTGGACTTCTGCGTCTCAAAGTAAACGTTTATTAATATATTTAGATAAATTACTTATTTAATCATTCAATCAGTAATGAAGTTTTATTTTAATTATTAAAATATTTTTAAAATAAATTAAATTTAAAGTTAATATTTTTTTCCTTTTCGCTTGTCATTTAAAAAATATTGATGATGTTAATATATTATTATAAGATAATATCATATTATTTTTATTAAAAAAAATATTACGTTAATAATTTTATTTTTAACAAGTGATTAAAATAAAATAAAAATATAATTTCATATATGATTTTAAAAATAATAATTAAGTGATCAAAATAAAATTGTAGAAATAATTAGATGACTAAATTACCTTACTTTTATATGGTTTGATGTAGGAACAAAAGGTTAAATCTGGGCCATTCAAGTGTGTGACCATTACATCACACAAGGCTGGGCAAAAAATAAACTGGTTAAACCCAAGTGGCTGATATTTCCACTGTGTTTCTGGGAAGATAATGGCAACAAAGACACTATCCCCCCATCCACAGCCTCTCTACTCTTTCCCTTTCCCTTCCAAATTCAGAACCAACCACCTTCACCACCCATGGCCGCCACGAGTTTCAACCCCTTTAACGCTCCACAGACACCGTGTGGCTGCCCGACTCTCCTTGCACCAAACCATCGTCTCATCTTCTGCTCTTACGGACAATCTTCAACATTACCTGCAAAACCCAGATTCCATGTTTTTTCTTGCAGACACAGCGGGTTACTCCTTGTCTAGCTACTACACTTCTCTTGGTCTCTTTGTCATCTCTGTTCCTGGACTTTGGTCCCTGATCAAGCGCTCTGTGAAATCAAAGGTAGCTTGAATTGCCACAAGTTTCTGTTTTCTTTATTGGTTGAGTTCTGTGTTGAGCATATACTGGTTTCAGATAGTGCAGAAGACATTCATAGGGGAAGGAGCTGAGGAGAAGGCACCAAATCAAGTTGCTGCTGAGATTTTATCTTTCTTCACTCGCAACAATTTTGTGGTCACCGATAGGGGTGAGACTATCACGTAAGTTTTACCAGTAAACACCACTGATTCATCCTCTTGGATAAAAGAAATAATCTTCTTTTAAGAAGCAATCAACAGAGCTTTTGATTTTTTCAAGGTTCGAGGGAATGATGGTTCCAAGCAGAGGACAGGCAGCATTGTTGACATTCTGCACCTGCATCAGCCTTGCAAGTGTTGCCCTTGTGCTCACCATCACATTTCCAGATGTGGGGAACAACTGGTTCTTGATCACTGTTCTAAGTCCATTGGCGTAAGCACAAATGCTCACCCTCCACTTTTCTTTTTGTTGGAATTGTAGTTTGAAGTTAATACTTTCCATCTTATCATGAATGGAATGAATGTAGAGGAGCTTATTACTGGAAGAGGGCATCAAGGAAGGAGCAGATTAAAGTTAAGATGCTGGTTGCCGACGATGGGACCGTGTCCGAGGTTGTTGTTCAAGGAGATGATCAGCAAGTAGATCAAATGAGAAAAGAACTCAAGCTTAGTGAAAAAGGCATGGTATATGTGAAGGGCTTGTTCGAGAGATGACAATAGATATACACTTCCTCCTATATGCATGTTTTAGGCTTATGGGAATAGACTTTGTCATCTGTGTTTTCTGCCCTGCAAATTTTGTTTTCTGTTGTCTACTGCAAATGTTAATGCTAGAAACGTTCAATAACACAGTGGAACGCCATTATTTTACACTCAGAAATCAAAATAATTATAGAACAGCATCCTTTTATAGTGAATAATCAAAGTCTAAAGAGTATCGATATTCAATTCTCCGGAAAATCCGGGAAAATTATTCAAAGTTAAGAGAAATATCAACTGGCGGCAGTTGCAATTATCCCAGTTACAAAAACAATACTAATGCCCTGAAAGTCCAGGGCAGCAGAAGCAAAAATCTGCAACAAACCTTCGGCATTATCTAATAAAATTAAAAAACTTGCTGATATCTCAGAGCGAACATATAATGTTATTATCAACCGATCAGCAACTTGTTCTCCTCCAAGAAACTGTAAGTGGGCACTTCCAGGTTGTAGGGTGCTGGACCCTTGCGAATCCTGCCAGAGACATCATAATGAGAACCATGGCAAGGGCAGAACCATCCGCCATAATCACCAGCATTTGGCAAGGGAATGCAACCCAGATGCGTGCAGACCCCGACAACAATTAACCACTCCGGATTCTTAACCCTTGCTGCATCCTCTTGTGGATCACGAAGAGACCCTACATCAACACTGTTTGCCACCTTGATATCCTCCTCAGTTCGGCGTCTGATGAAGACCGGCTTTCCACGCCACTTAACAGTTACAGTGCTGCCAGGTTCGATGCTGGAGAGATCAACCTCAAGAGAAGCCATCGCAAGAACATCCTTACTAGCTGACATGCTCAGCACAAACTTGAGGATAAGCAGGCGGATAAGAGATGCATACACAAACCTACCACCTGTCAGGACAAAGTAGGCAAATGCCCGCTTGCTAGGGTCACCTGGAGGAAAACGTTCGTGGTTGTATTCATCATAAACTATTTTAGAACTGGGGTTCTTAATAGCTGCCACTGTTGGTGGAACATCAGGAATTACACTGCTTTCGCTTCTTGGGGTGAGGGACTCGGAAGCAAAACCTAAAGAAAACATTACAAGTCATATCTTTAGGGAATAAGCCCAAAATGAGAAGACAAAAAAAACCTTTTCAGCATTCCAGTATTTGATTTTCAGGATAGGAAGAATATTGTATAGCAAATATCATGTCATGGCTGTTGAATTGGAAATGTAAAGGATTGTTCCATACAAGTACAACCACTATTTGGGTAAAAAAACCTAGCATCGAGCCTCCATTTCAAGGCTGTGTAAATATTGGTTTTCAAAAGGGAAAAAAGTGGTTTCACTTCTCAATACCCATTCATAAGACATGATTAGAACCAATTTCAGAAAGTATTTTTATGACTTAAAACAAAATAAGAAAAAGCTAGCCATTGAGATCATGCATTATTCTAGTACATTGGAACAATGCTCTAAGAGAGGTCTCTCTCGCATAACTGCTAAAGATCACTACAGCAGATGAATCCTCCATTGCTCAAAGGCATGTAAAGCCGATTGAGTATACTCACTCTTAATGAATATCATATGTAGTATAAGAAAGTGAACAAACCATAGCTACCAAATTAGATCACCAAAGACACCTTCCAATATCTTTTTGTTTTTGTCACAGGTGCCTTTCCCCAGGCCCAAACATCAATTTTTTTCCTTCAAAAGAGGGGGTGTCTAATTAACTAAATCTATAACCTTTAAAATCATATTCTGATCCAAGTGTACTACATTTTAGCTAATTTGGGAGTTTTGCTAAATTCTATAAGAGATGCAAGTAACTTTGATTATTCACACAACCAAATCAATATGATAAACACAAGTAAGAAACACTAGTCAAAACAGTGCAAAATAAAGTCTCAAAGTTCATCAGTTAGAATTTGAATATGGATTAGGTATTATAATGAAAACCTCGAATAGTATTTGTTATGACCACCATAGAAGGATCAAAAACTGAAACAAAGTGGAGAAACTGATAGGCAAAAGGAAACCCTAAGCTCTGATGGAGAATTAGATAGGCAGAAGGAAACCCTAAATAAGTACAGGAAGACAGCTTTCAATCTCCTTTTTTTGTGTAACATAAGCACGTTTCACCAAAAATCAAATTCCCTTTTCACCTTAAAAAAGGGTGTCTTAAGTAGCAAAATCTATAACATTTAAGACCATATTTTGATCCAAATGTACTATATACTAAATTCATTAAGAGATGCAAGTAACTTTGATTATTCACATATCCAAATCAATAACATAGACAAAAGTAAGAAACAAAAATTCAAAGCGATGGGGTTTTTACTGTTAGATCAGCTGTTAATCTATGTTCATCGGAGACTTTGGGATTGGATGAGGTACTTTTCTGGAAGAAGTTTATTTGGAGAGGCCTACTGCCTCCAAGAGTAGAGTGTTTTCTTTGGCAGATCGCTCATGGGAAGCTGGCTGTTAGGACTGAACTTGTCAAAAGAGGTGTTCAGGGAATTGAAGATGTATTATGTCCCCTATGCAAGATGTCGGATGAGTCTCCCTCTCATTTGTTTTTCTCTTGTTCGGTGGTGTGGTCCCTTTGGAATAAGTTTTTAAGTTATTGGAGGATTTGTTCTGTTTTACCAGCGGATGCTAAAAGTTTCTTTCTAGCTTGGGATGGATTAAAGTCAAACTCTTTGATGTGGCCTTTTATTCCAGGGGTCGTTCTTTGGACCACTTGGAAAATGAGGAATTTCGTGGTGTTTGAAGGGGGAAAGCTTGATATGGCAGAATTCTTCTTTTTAGCTAGATTTAGGCTTGCTTCTTGGTTCTTAGCAAAGTATAAAGAAGTTCCTATCCCTAAGGACTCACTCATTTCCGATCCTTCTCTTGGGGACTTAGTTTCTATACACTCGAGTAAGATTACTTCCTCTTTGCCTTGGTCTCCTCCTCCGTTAGGTTTTGTTAAATTAAATGTCGATGCTGCCACTACATGGGATTGGAAGAAAAGCGGACTAGGAGGTGTTTTAAAAGATTCATCAGGTTCTACTATAGCCTATTTCAAGGAAACTGCTGGTCCGGGACCTCCTACGTTGATGGAGTTAAAGGCTATTCTTATGGGGTTGTCTTTCTTTGCATCCCATCGAGAGAGGATCAAGGACCGTCTGATTATAGAGAGTGATAGTAAGGTCGCTGTGGATTGGATAAAGGGGGTTGAATTATGTCTTGTTGTATATGCCTTCTTGATTAAAGATATTGTTCATAGGCTTAAGGCCTTTGAAGGTGTTGTTAGATGGGTTAATAGGACAGCCAATTTAGAGGCTGATGCCTTAGCTAAAGAAGGAATAGGCTGAGTTAGTTAAGTTGTTGATGGTTGTTTAGAGTTGTTTCTTCTTTTTCTGTGTTTTGTTAGGGGGTTAATATTGTTGTTTTCGCTGTTTCTGTGTTTTTAGTTTGGATGTTCTATGGGTGTTTTCAGCTTATTTGGTTCTGTTGGGGTGTTTTCTTGGTTGTATTTTGTGTGTATCTTATGTAATTTTCTGTTTCAATAAAATCCTAAGGCACTCTTTTCCTCCTTCCGCTGATTAAGGAGCTTCCCTACCAGCTCCATTAATCAAGAAGGGGGTTTTTAATGAGGCTTGAAATTCTTATCAAAAAAAAAAATTCAAAGCGATGCAAATAAAGCAGGAACTAGTCTAAAAAGTTCATCAGTTAGAATGTGAATATATCTTAATTAGCAAAATCTATAACATTTAATACCATATTTTGATCCAAATGTACTATATACTAAATTCATTAAGAGATGCAAGTAACTTTGATTATTCACTTACCCAAATCAATAACATAAACAAAAGTAAGAAACAAAAATTCAAAGCGATGCAAATAAAGCAGGTACTAGTCTAAAAAGTTCATCAGTTAGAATGTGAATATGAACATGGTATCAAAACAAAAACCTAACCGATTATAGTATTTGTTATGACTACCGTAGAAGGATGGAAAACTGGAACGACAAAGAGAAAATTGATAGGAAAAAGGAAATCCTAAGCTCTGGAGAGAAGAAGAAAATGAGGAGTGAAAGACACCTTTCTATCTTTTTTCTGTTGGTCACCATAGGAGCCTTACCCCAAACATCAAATTCATTTTTCACCCAAGAAAACGGGTGCCTAACTAAATCTGTAACCTTTCAGACCACATCTTAATCCAATCGTACTATGTTCAACTAATTTGAGCGTTTCCCCAAATTCCATAAGAGATGTAAGCAACTTTGATTATTCACATAAACAAAAGTAAAAAACAGAAAATCAAAATGATGCAAGATAAAACGTGTACTAGTCTTAAAGTTCATCAGTAAGAATTCGAATATTAATAGCGTATGTCAGTATCATAACAACCTAACCAATAATTGTATTGTTATGAACCGCCATAGAAGGGCAAAAAAATAAACCAAACAGAACAATTATTGATGATAGGCAAAAGGAATCCCTAACCTCTTGTGGGAAGAAGTAAGTGAGAAGCGAGAGAGAAAGAGGAGGTTGATCTGAGACCATCCGAAGAATCGGCGCCGTCAGCGAAAGGACGATCGGCGATTGCGGAGGTGGCCTGTTGAGGCCTCCATGCAGAAGGACGAGAGGCGAGCCTCCTCGTTGCTGCCCTCAGCATCTTCAATTCGATTGGATTCACAGCGAGCGAGCGAGAGAGAGAGAGAGAGAGCTTTCTTTCTTATTTTATTTTTCTTGCCTTGAAGATTCTTCCTATTAGCTAGGGACAGGGAGACGCAGAGCTTCATATATGACTACAGTTAATTGCTCATAAGATCCCCAAACTAAGTCATTAATTCTATCATACTCACTAAAATTTAAAACATTCTATATAAATCCTCAAATTATAACTATCATCTAATTATAACCTTCTCATTAATCTAGCATTAACATTATTGATATGTGTTAACATCTAATGGATAATTAAAATATTTAATTGATTTATAATTAGTACACCTTTACCCGTTGTATTAAACCCTTTTTAAATTAAATATATTTAATGAAATCAGATATTTTGTGTACGTGTCACATATCGTTAAATGTTTTTGACGATTTTATCTAAAATCTTAAACTTTAGGGTATAATATACAAATA